TCTCTCTCTCTCTTTTGGATGAAACCAAATTTTTTATTTTATTTATTATATAAATGATGATGAAATTGTAAATTGTCTATAATACCACCTTTCATTTGTTTCTTTTTTATTTAACTATTTTTTTATGGCTAGCGATTTAAACTAATTGATATAATTTGTTTGTTACCATTCTAAAAAATAATAATGCAACTATTTTATAATAGGCCACATAAATGTAATGTAATTAAAATAAAAAGTTAATCTTTAATTATAAGTCTTACAAAATTGTCACATCATTAAAACGAATAAGTTTAAGAAGCATTTCAATATAATTGAAACCTTTAAGGTTATTACAAGATAAAATAGAAAGGCTAGGGATCATGCATTTTAGATATTTAACCAATTAGAATAATTAACTACATTAATGACTAATTTAACAAGTAATAATTTTTGTCCAATTTGGACCTTATTTCATAACCTTATCTGAGCGTAATGAATTTTGGGATCTCAATTGTGAATTTAGTGAAAGTACGGACCTTATTCAATGTTTAGCCAAATTTTAAAATATGCAGTTTTGGCTAATTCTGAATATCAACCCAAATTAAACCGAAAATTTTCAATTAATTAGCAATGGTTCTGGATAATAAAAGTGATGACATGTTCCCAAAAAAATGTGTTTGACGGCACAACAAGTATAATCAACTGAACTTTTCAATTATCAACAACTCTAAATGGATATTTAGTCAATAGCCACTTAATGTTAACAATGTTAGACCTAACAGTTTTTGTCTAATTGTGACTTTATTTGAGAATTTCAATTACTTTGGTGCTTTATTTGAGAAAAATAGAATTTTGAGACAATTATGAATTTAGTGAGAGTTTGGAACCTTGTTCATTACTTAAGCCATTAGCATATTTATTTAATTGGATGAATATATCAGCTGCCAAACAAGGAGGCAAAAGGAATCAAATTAGTATTTCAGCTAGCTTATTCATTTACATAATATATATATAGTTGTTTGTTTCCCATATCATTTGGTAATGTATGGTTTTATAGCTCCTATATATTGTTGGAATTGGTAATTTAATTTAACTTTTTTTTATTGATTATTTATGCTTTCTAATTTTCTGTTGACGAACACTAGAAGAAGTATATTTATTCACATTATTTATTATGTTTTAGGACCTTTTTTAATGGCAGCGGAAATAGTAGGGGCAATATTCGGTGCATTGAGTTGCATTTGTGGTACTCCAACTTGCAACTGTATAGATCAACATAGAAATTTTAATGATGATGTGGATGAGTTGAGAAGAAAATTGGACAGTCTAACTAGCCAGAAACAAGATATAGAATCAAGAATACAAGAAGCAGAGGCTCGTGGGGGACAAATGGTTAGACAACAAGTGCAACAATGGCTTAAGCAAGCAGAAGAGATCAATGTTAAACTGCGAGCATTTTTGGAAAAGGTGCAGGGAGTCAAGTGGTACAAGCGTGCTTGTCTTGACAGACTTGTTTGTAGAAAAATTAATATGGTCAAGGAACTGCTTGATAAAGGTAGTTTTCCTGAAGGCCTCGTTATTGAGAGGGCTCCAGCTCATGGAAACATAATTCCAATAGAGAATTTAGTGGGGGAAATTTCTACTAAAGAAGAAATTTGGAGGTACTTGATGGGTGATGAGGTTGGAATGATTGGAGTTTGTGGGATTGGTGGAGTTGGAAAGACTACAATCATGAAGAATCTCCACAATGATTTACAAAGGGAGACTAGATTTGAGAAAGTGATCTGGGTTACTGTGTCACATCCTCTCAATGTTTTCGAATTACAAAAGAAGATTGCTGGTGCTATGGGCCAAAGACTTCGAGATGATGAAGAGGTGATGATGCGAGCAGCAGCACTAATGGAAATAATGAGAAGAGTGAGGTATGTGGTAATATTAGATGATGTATGGCAAAAGTTCTCTCTTAAGGAAGTTGGAATTCCAGATCTGAATGTGCAGAATGGGTGCAAAGTAGTTGTCACTAGTAGATCAATTGAAGTATGTAGTTATTTGCGTTGTAAGATTGTTAAAGTGAAACCTCTTTCACAGGAGGAGTCTCTGAAGTTATTCCTCAATACAGTTGGAGATGGTGTTTTGCAAGTTCCAGGGTTAGAGGAAGTCTTAAAGCTTATTGTGAAAGAGTGTGCCGGCTTACCACTGGCCATTGTTGTGATAGCTGGGAGCATGAGGGGAGTTGATGAT